GGAAGCATTAACAACAGAATAGACCAAGACGAGAAAAGAATATCAGAACTTGAAGTCTGGTCCTTCAAATCAATTCAGTCAGACAAACATAAAGAAAAAAGAATTTCGGGTCAGGCATGGTGGCTGATGCCTATAATCCAGCACTTTGGGAAGTTGAGGTGGGCGGATCACTTAAGGCCAGGAGTTCGAGACCTGCCTGGCCAACATGGTGAAACCTCATCTCTACTAAAAATACAAAAACTAGCCAGGAATGGTGGCACACACCCATAGTCCCAGTTACTCAGGAGACTTAGGCATGAGAACTGCTTGAACCTGAGAGGCAGAGGAGATCTCAGTCAGCTGAGATCACACCACTGCACTCTAGCCTGAGCCACAGAGCTAGAGTCTGAGAAAGAAAAGAAAAAAAGGAAAGGAAAGAAGGAAAGGAGAGGTAAGAGGAGAGGAAAGGAACTTTGAAAATGAACAAAACCCACAAGAAATAAGATAAATAGGTAGAGACCAAACCTATGACTCACTGGCATTTCTGAAAGGAAGACGAGAAAACAACTTGGAAAACATATTTGAAAATATAGTGGACGAAACTTTTCTCAATCTCAGTAGAAGTCAACAGGCAAATTTAAGAAATTCAGAAAAGTCCTGTGAGATACCATACAAGAAGACCATTCTCAAGACAAATTGTTAACAGATTCACCAAGGTCAGTGCAAAAGAAAAAATCCTAAAGGCACTAGAGAGAAGGGTCAGATCATTTACAAAGGGAATCCCATCAGGCTAGGAGAGGACCTTGCAGTAGAAACTTACAAGTGAAAAGAAACTGTGGACCTATTTTCAGCATTATTAAATAAAAGAAACTCCAAACAATAATTTGATATCCTGCCAAACTAAGCTTCATGAGAAAAGGAGAAATAAAATTCTTTTCAGACAAGCAAAGCTAAGGAAATTCATGAACACTAGACCAGCCTTACGAGAGGTCCTTTAAAAACTGCTAAATGTGGAAATGAAAAAAGAGTACCTGGCACCACAAACACACAAGTTACATGGCCCACACACACTACAAAGCAAATATACAATCAAGTCTACAAAGCAAATACACAATCAAGTCTACAAAGCAACCAGCTAACAACATGGTTACAGCATCAAAATCTCACACATCAACATAAACCTTGAAGGTAAATTGTCTAAATACACCACTTAAAAGGCTTAGAATGACAAACTGGATTGAAAAAGCAAGGCCCAACCATCTTCTGTCTTCAAGAGACCCATCTCACATGTAAGAACACCCACAGGCTCAAAGTAAAGGGATGGAGAAGGATCTATCATGCAAATGGAAAACAAAAAGAAAGCAGGGGTCACTATTCTTATATTAGATAAAACAGACTTTACACCAACAATGATCTAAAAGGACAAAGAAGGACATTACACAATGACAAAGGGAACAATTCAAAAAGAAGACTTAACTATCTTAAATATACACACGGCCAACATTGGAGCACCCAGATTCATAAAACAAGTTCCTCTAGACATGAAGAGACTTAGCCACACAATAATATGGGGGGACTTCAACACCCAAGTGACAGGATTAGAGAGATCATCAAAGCAAAAAATTAACAAAGAAATTCTGAACTTAAATTCAACACTTGACAAATTGGACTATATAGCAGACATCTACAGAATACTCAAAAACCATAGAATATACATTCTTCATATCTGCACATGGAATATACTCTAAGATCAACTACATGCTCAGCAATACTGCAAGTCTGAAAAAGTTTAAAAGCAGTGAAATCATCTCAAGCATACTCTCAGACCATAATACAATAAAAATAGAAATTACTACCAAGAAGATCTCTCAAAACTACACAATTACATGGAAATTAAACAACTTGCTCCTAAATGACTTTTGGGTAAACAATGAGATGAATTCAGAAATCAAAAAAATATTCTTCGAAATTAATAAAAACAGAGACAAAATAAATCAAAATCTTTGGGATGCAGCTAAAGTAGTGCTAAGAGGAAAGTTTATAGTGCTAAATGCCTACATGAAATAAGTTAGGAAGACCTTAAATGAACAATCGGATGTCACACCTAGAGAAACTAGAACAAAAGGATGGATCAATCCTAAACTAGCAGAAGAAAACAAATAAAATCAGAGCAGAACTAAATGAAATTGAGGTGCAAAAATCCATACGAAAGATCAACACATTGTTTTTTTTTTAGACAGAGTCTCATTTTGTCACCCAGGCTGGAATGTAGTGGCACGATCTCAGCTCACCGCAACCTCTGCCTCTTGAGTTCAAGCAATTCTCCTGTCTCAGCCTCCCAAGCAGCTGGAACTACAGGTGCGCACCACCCACATCTGGCTAATTTTTGTATTTTTAGTAGAGATAGGGTTTCACCATATTGGTCAGGCTGATCTTGAACTCCTGACCTCAGGTGATCCACCTGCCTCAGCCTCCCAAAGTGCTGGGATTGCAGGCATAAGCCACTGCACCTGGACTGTTTTTTTAAAGAATAAACAAAATTGATAGACTGCTAGCTAAACAACAAAAAAAGAAAATCTAAGCACAATCAGAAATGACAAAGATGACATTACAACTAATCCTACAGAAATACAAAAGATCCTCAGAGATTATTATAAATATCTCTACAAACAAAAATTAGAAAATCTAGAGGAAACGAATAAATTCCTGGAAACACACAACCTCCCAAGATTGAACCAAGAAGAAATGGAAAACCTGAACAGACCAATAATGAATTCCAAAAGTGAATCAGTAATAAAAATCCTATCAACCAAAAAAAGGCCCTGGATCACATGAATTCACAGCTAAATTCTACCACATGTACAAAGAACTGATAATAATCCTATTGCAACGATTCCAAAAAATTCAAGGCAGAAGGACTCCTCCCTAACTCATTTTATGAAGCCATTATCATCCTCACACCAAATTCTCAAAGGGACACAATAAAAAAGAAGTTCCAGCCAATATCTCTGATGAACATAGATGCAAAAATATCCTCAACAAAATACTAGCAAAACAAATGCAACAACACATCAAAAAGATAATGCACTATAATAAAGTGGGATTTATTCCCAGAATGCAAGGATGATTTGACATATGCAAATCAACAAATGTGATACATCGAATCAACAGAATGAATAACAAAAACCACATAAGAATCTTAATAGATGCAGAAGACGCATTTGATAAAATTCAGCATGCTTTCACGATAAAAAAACAACTCTCAACAAATGAGGCACAGAAGGAACATATGTAAGCACAATAGAGACCATATATGACAAACACAGAGCTAACATCATACTGAATGGAGAAGAGCTTAAAGCCTTTCTTCTAAGAACTGGAAAGCAAGACAAGAATAACCACTTTTACCATTCTTATTCAATATAATGTTGGATCCCCTAGCTAGTACAATTAGTAAAGAGAAAGAAATAAAAGACATCCAAACTGGAAAAAAAGAAATTTAATTGTCCCTCTTTGCGGACAACATGACTACACACACACACACACACACACACACACACACACATATATCTCACCCAAAAGTATGGCTCTACCAAAACATCCTTAGAACTAAAAAGCTAATTCAGTAAAGTTGCAAGATACAAAATCAACATGCAAAAAGTCAGCAGTATTTCTAGACACCAATAACGAACTAGCTGAAAGGAAATAAAGAAGGCGATCTTATTTACAATAGCTATAAAACAACACCTATGATAAATTTAACCAAATAAGTAAAAAACCTCCATGAGGAAAACCATAAAACACTGTTGAAAGAAAGTGGAGAGGACCAAAACAAATGGAAATAATCCCATGCTAATGGATTGGAAAATGGAGTACTATGCAGCCATAAAAAAGAGTGACATCCTGCCATTTACAGCAACATGGCTAAATTAGAGAACATTATATTAAAAAAAACAAGTCAGGCACAGAAAGATAAATACTGCATGTTCCCATTCATATATGAGAGCTAAAAAATCAAGCTCATGGAAGTAGAGAGTAGAACTGTGGGTATTAAAGATGATAAGGAGAGGTTGGCTAACAAATACAAAATAACAGCTAGATAGGAGGAATGAGCTCTTGTGTTCTGAATCACTGTGGGGCAAATATGGTTAACTATAATTTATTGTATATATTCAAAAAGCTAGGAGAGATTTTCAGTGTTCACAACACAAATTATAAATCTTTGAGGTAATAAATATGTTAACTACTCTGATCTGATTACTACACATTATATAAATGTATCTATATATCACTCTGTACCCCACAAATATGTACTATTACATGTCAACTAAAAATAAAAGGAAAAACAAAGAATACAGATGGAATCTATTTTAACAAACAAAACTTGGGAATAAAAATAATCATAAAGGAAATATTGCAATCATCACGTCTGATTCCTATGTCTATCTCTTAGTTGGTTCCAAATTAAAAGGAAAAGGATTGTTAATTATTGACTCAAACTCAATTACATTATTATATTTATTTTGAAAATGAGAAAACTGGGTTGAGAGATGAGCAATTTACACAAAGTCACCAAAATCTAAAGCATGTGGGGAACCAGCAATTAAACAGGGACCTCTCATTAACTCTGAAGTCTATCTACATTTTTCCTTATATTCTCAGTGCTTGTTACTTATATTCATTTAAAACAGGCATACTTCATCAACATTCTCTAGTAAGAGTCTAAACACCATATGTAAAGGATACAGGGAAGGAAAAGGAAATGGAACTCACATTTTCTGTGTATCTATTATGTTCCAGACACTGTCCTAAGCCATTATTTAAATTACATACTTTAAATCTCACAGACACCCTCAGGAACCTGCAGCAAGTTCAGTGAGAATGAGGTATCCAAAGCTCATGTGCTTTTGATTTACTTAGTTGTTTCTGAAGGCCAAATATTAGTCTCCCAAATGATCAGGCTGTTAAATGTAGTGTGTTTGCTAACAGCATTGGTTTATTTGCTTGATTCACACACTTACTGAATGGTTCTTTACGATGGCACAGAACACGACATCTGCACACAGGAACACCCCTGTCCGGCCTATGCCAGCACTGCAGTGAACAACCATGGGTCCCGTCAGGTGGCTCTTCCTTGCATAACGAACATACTTTATGAAGCTATCTGCTGAAGCAGGAGTGTCATGGTCTGGCCATTTGGTGAACTGCAACTGTTTTACAGAGTGACTAGTTCCCGTCTATTAGAGAAAAAGAAACAGGTCAAGAAAGATATTTATTGATTTCTTATATTAGAAACCTCATGCCAACTTCTAATATTCAAATGATAATAATAATAATGGCTATATGGTACCTAGATGTTATATAGAACTTTCAAAATGTGCTCAAATTCATTTTGATGTTTATAAGAATTCTGGAAGTTGCTAGGAATAGAGATTTTCTGCATTTTACAAAGGAGAGCACAGCAACAATAATAAAAATACCAGTACCAACAGGTAACAAACTCAAGCACTTGCTATGTACCAGGTACTGTGCCAGGGGCTTCACACGAATTCTCTCCTTTAATCCTCACGGCGACCATGTGAGCTAAGCACCATTTTACAGATGCAAGTGTAAGAATGTGGGGACTGAGAGATGTATGCTAGGGCAGAAGGCTCACATGGTTAGTTAGAACTGTAATATAGGTGTCTCGAATTCTAATCTACCATCCTTCTGTACCATGAGGGGGCAGGAAAACCAAGATTTCAAACTACTTAGAGTGAAAGATGAACTGTCATGTTGGGAATAAGACTAAAAGGCACTCTATCTTAGTTTAGAAATGGCATAAGAAATTTAATTAACACATGTAGGTGTCTGACAAGAGGAACCAATCTCTTCCAGCGATGCAGACAGGGCAGTCAATGACGAGGAGAGTAGATTGTGGGCCCCACTATTGTGCTGAGTCCCCTTGAAGTGCAGTCATGAAACTCTTTCCGGGGTTGTCAGACAAAGCATTTTAAATTTACCTATATCTCATCCAAGGTGATCATGACCCTTTCCTCAGTGTGAGGCCCTTATTTTACCACACATAGGACCTTAATGGAAAAACCCAGAATGAGTTTCTCACTTCTCTGCTTCTCCCTAGTGCAACTCTTTTTCCTAAGCTTCCTGAATAAAGGTGCTGGTGTTCAGAGCTCTATTTTAATCCACAGTGTCTACTGAAATTAGTGATAGTTAATTTTATGTGTCAACCTGGCTGAGCCTCTGTACCCAGATTATTAGCCCAAATATTATTCTATGTTTCTGTGAAGGTATTTTTAAGACAAGTTAACATTTAAATTGGTAGAATTTTAGTAAAGCCGATTATTCTCCATAAAGTGGGTTGGCTTCATCTAATCAGCTGAAGGCCTTAAAAGAACAAAAACTGACTTCTCATGAGCAAGAAGGAATTCTACCAGCAGATTGCTTTTGGACTCAAACTGCAATTCTTCCCTGGGTCTTCAGCTTACTGTCCCATCCTGCAGATCTGTCAACTCTCCACAATCACTTGAACTAATTCCTTAAAATTAATCTCTCTCTCTCGTGTCCACGCTCAGTAAGTACATACATATCTTGTTTGTTATGCTTCTCTGGAGAACCCTAGCTAATACAGATTACTCCACTGATTTATTTAATACAATTTTCTACCTAGAGTCATAAATATAGAAACCCTCAAGTCACTTTGGTTATTGATGACTTCTGTATTACATAGCACTTGACAGTGGCAGAAATGACCCGAGATCTGTAAACGGCAGTAGGCAGAAAGGGTTATATTTAAAACCTCTTTGAACTTAATACCAAATAGAAAACTCAAGTTTGAATCATTAATAACTTGAAATTAAATAAGAAAAACAATACTTGAAAATATTGTGAAGGCACTAAGTAGAGGACTGCTGTTACGAGACCCCATGCTTCAGGGGTTAAATCCCTCCTACTAGAATTGACCACTGGGAATCCACACAAAGGTGGGTCTCATTGATTTCTCACCCAGTGCCATGAAGATAAAGATGAGGCAGACTCTCCAAACATGAACACCATGCTTCTGAGTCTTGTGAGCCTTGGCCCAAAGGCCACCCCCCAGACCTTCTTGCCAAGGCTGCACAGGTCCACTCTGCAGGCAGATAATGGCTCTGTGACTCCCACCTGGCCTTCATTCTCCAGGTCACACATCATTTGGAATGGACTTGTTTAGTGCCTTCCTTTCCCACTAGACTCAAAGTGCTCTAAGAGTTAAGACTGTATCTGTCTTCCAACCCCAAAAAAGCAAAAGGAAGAATTCAAGACACTCCTTGCTGCTTCCTGTTTTCCAATTCATTATTCCTTTCCCTTATATAAAAACGCCTCTTCCTTGTGAGTTTCATACCTCATAGCTTCATCTTCCCATTGCTATAAGCCAGTGGCTAAACCTCCTGGTCAAGCCCCCACATTCACTGAAGATTCTTGTCTTCTCCATACCAAAGATTCTGGCATCATCCAGGGCAAATTCAGTGTATCCACAGCCCAACAGACACTAAACTTCACAACAGGTTTATTTTTCTCTTGCGGGGGAAAATAATTCCTTTCTTCTAGTCCCCACCATGATGACCACTCTTTGGACTTACCACCATCTATAATATCTACTGTCAATTTCCCAGTTTTATAACTCCAACATCAATTTCTGACCCGAAGCTGTTAGACTACCATCTCATTTGTGCTTCTCTTCAACATGTGACCAAATGGAGCTTTCTACTCCTTTGCATCCTCCATTTACCCCTAGCTGGCCCCATGATCCCTTTCATACTCCTAGACAATTTAGACTTCATGTCTGATTATATGAATTCGTGTACCAAACTCTCTAATCCTTTGATCCTTTGCTTCCTGCCACATGAACTAGAAAACATCCCACCCTGGGTCAATCCTGTAACCTGTATTCAGGGATCTCAATGTTATACTGCCGGAAAAAAACACATAGCCACATATTTTGTTGCTATCGCAAATTTATGGGTCAAACCTCAGCACCACTCAGCAACGCTTTTCCTGGTGATCGTGGTCCAGTCAACTTCTTTGGCGATGACTCCAAAACTCACCACTCTCTACAAGTTTCCTGTTCATCCTATTCCCTTCACTCCTGCTAACACATGTATCACCTACCTGCCAACTGAATGCTCTGGAGCAAGCTAAGTCATCATTTTCTCCTATAAACCATTCCTTTTCTATTTCCTAAATCTATTAGACCAACAAATCCATGAATTATTCTAGACCAACACTTCTCAACAGAACTTTCTACACTGAAGCAAATGTCTTAAATAGTGGCAATATAGTAGCCACTATCAACATGCGACTACTAAGCACCAGAAATGTGGCTACTGCAGGTGAGAAACTCAGTTTGTTATTTTACATAAATTTAAATAAATTTAAACTTAAATAGCCACATGTGGTTACTGTATTGAATGTATTTTCAATCCCTCCATTGTCGCTTATAAATCATAAGTCATAAATCATATATGTCTGCCAATTTTATCTGCAAAGCACTTGTGTCTGTGCTTTCCATCCCCATGCCAACAGCCCTAGTTGATCACATCACTTACTAAAATTCTTAAATGTCTGTCAATTATCTTCATAATAAAGTTCATGCTACTTAGCTGGAATTTAAGACATTTCACATTCTAGCTGGCCCCTGCTTACTTTTGACAGCCTCATCTCATCTTTTGCTACTCCCTGGCACTGAACTTTTATGTTCCAGAGACACTTAACTACTTATGCTTGTCTCTGTACATACCCCATGCTATTTTATATTTTGATCATCTACTTCCTCCTTCCATCTTTCTCATTTGGATAATTCTCAAACAGATGTCGCCTCCTCCAGTAAGCCTTCCCCCAAACCCCAAGTAAAGCTAAGTATTTATCATCTGAGCCCCTAAGTACCTAAGACATATCTCGGCATTATCACTGAACACAGTAAGTGAGGTATCTATCAGTGAGTATACCAACCTCTTCACTACTCGGTAGGTACTGATAGTGCCCGGTCCAGTGATGAGCATACCTCAAGGACTCAACACCTATCTGCCACACTTGGCAGAAGCAGGTATAACCCAGAATCAGACAACTTCAACACTCACTCTCCCTGCCCCACCTCTCCTTTCCAATTTTTTCTTTTCTCCAGGATCTGGTTAAGGAGAAGTAGAAATGGTGGTGGCTTCTGGCACCAGGGACAAGTAAAAAGTTACTTTAAGAAGTTTCATCAGTTTATTTTCCATCCTACTCCTGCCTTCTATTTCTAAGACATCTGCTTGTATGGTGAAATATATATATCTAATACTGATCTTTAAAAACTTACAGACTTCTCCACAACTTGAAACTTTCGAATGATGAAATACTTAAGTATCTGGTAGTTTTCCAGGGATACACGGAAGTGTTTCAATTCCAATGGCTTCTTCAGAGAAATGGGCCAGTAATGGTAGCATTTGATAACTCCATCTTCTACCTCTCTGGTCACCATGGCAATAACATTAGAATTATTTTCCAACACCATTTGCCAAAAGTCATCTATGGTGCTCAGCAGTGGTCCTTGAGTAGCAATATAAAAATACTCTTCTCCACAATTGACTATTCTAATATAACTAGCATTGATGTAGTCCTTGTTTTTTCCAAGAGGAACACGTGTTGAATCATCTATTACAGAAACAGAAACATCTGGTAGATAAAGGTGGGAGATACATTACATTCAGACTTCACAGAAGCATTTCACACAGGTAAATTCATATATCCCTTTGACCAATAGAGAAGTTGGCCTAGAAGTTTCTTTTTAAAAGGGTTGAGTCCATGAGTTTAAATTATTTCCTCCCTGAAGACTATTGGCATAATCTAATAAATACATAATTATGGGAGGTTTATTTTTTAGATCAGTTTTTAATAAACACAGAATGATATCATTAGCATCCAAGTACTTTTAGAAATTTCTGCTAGAAATGGCACAAGCAAGATTAGGTCAAGGGAAGTATATTCTAGTTTGTAACTGAACACAATAGAGGAGAAACTCTCTGTGGAAGCAAACGAATGATATTCTCCTGCAAATCTGTGAAACCTGCAAACCCAGAGCAGCAGGGGCCAGGGTAAAAAAAAAATCTGATAGTTGACTGCAGACAAATTCCAGGATTAATGGAATTCAACCAATGTCCCCAAAACTAGACAGCACTATTTTATGTCCATTCTCAGCCTTCATCTGGTGATGGGGCATGTTATTCAAAGCAAAGATATTGTGGCAAAAGGATGTTACCAAGGGGATTTGCTCCAAGTAATATGGGACTCATCTAACATGGACTGTTATAACAAATTTGAGAGAGAAAACCAGCTATTTGGCCAAGTAAGCTTCACTGCTCCAGGAGTTTCTTCTTCACCTGACATAGACATCTGAAGCTCTGGTTCTACCACCACCCCCACATTAAGAGCAGAAACATACAGAGCAAAGGAGGCCCTTCTCTGCAGTGCAGCTCTCTCAATAATAACCTCTCCTTGCTACTCAGAATCACACGGACCACTTATCTAGCAAATATGCTGGCAAGACCCGAACAGGCACTTACATAGTATCTGGCGGAACTCTTCTAAAATACTAACATAGCACACAGAAACTTTCCCTTGTAAATATGAGTGAACAGAAAAAACAGCCAGCTGCAGTGGCTCACACCTATAATCCCAGCTACTCAGGAGGCTGAGGCAGGAGAATCGCTTGAACCAGGGAGGCAGAGGCTGCAGTGAGCTGAGACTGTACCACTGTACTCCAGCCTGGGCAACAGAATGAGTGAGACTCTGTCTCAAAAAAAAAATTGCTAGATATATAAAGATACCCAGTATTTCAAAAAGAGAGTCCATTCTAAACAATCATGACAAATGTTCTCCTTTCTATAAAAGGTGATAACACCTCAAAAACTCCTATTTGTATTTTAAATAAAATTCAAGAAAGCATTATTTTATTATTTAAAACAATAATATATATCTATGTTTACCAATATATGTTATATTACTAAGTATGTATAATAAATATGTTATATCACTATGTATATATGTATACATGGTATATACAGTATTCATATGTATGTATATATACGATGATATATGTCATATAATAATAATAAGCCTGGAAAGTGTTAATCACAATGTTAGCAGTGTTATTATAGTATTTAAACAGTATGAATTACTTCAAAGTAAAAATAAATGCATTTTTCTAATTTTGAAAAGAGATTAAATATGTGAAAATTCAATAATCTAAAATAATAAAAGCTTGATTTCATATAAAAGTCACAATCATTCAACTCAAACTCCTAAAGCAGGAATTGAACAGAAAAACAAATACATTATTTAGAAAACCAGCTTTAAAATTTTTCCCAGAACTCAGAAAAAAAAGATTAAAAAAACCTACAATAATAATTAAATGCTAAAAGGCACAGAGCATACAACAGGAATATAAAAAAGGAATTTCAGAAGCAAACTATGGAAGTCACTGCACAAAAGAAATAATTCAAGTGATCGTAGGAAAGCTCCATAAACAGAAGTGAGAGTAATAACAGATGACAGTGAAACATGCACACCAGGTTCAAGCAGCATAATGCGCTGCATGCATCACCTTGTCAACTCCAAAACAAACCTTTGCAGAGGTGCTATTGTATTCATGCTTTTCAAATAAAAAACCTGTACAAAGTAACTTGTTCCATGTTATGCAGCAATTTTCTTGACTCCACAGCCTAGGTAAATCTAGACTCCATGCTCTGCTGTCCATCAAGGAAGACTCAACTTTGAAGACCGGAAGACTAAGTGTCAGACAACATTAATGAAGAGAGTCACTAAGACCCCTAGACCAGCAGAGCATAAGCCACAGGAACAGAAAGCAAAAATTATGCTAATGAATCACTATGGGTAATGGCTACTGGTCCCACTCTCATTTCCACCCCTTGATTCTTGACTCCTGGCTATGGTAGAAATAGCATCACGTATTGGATGCTGATCTGGGGCATATATAACCTGGAGAACATCACCCCAGCTGTGCAAGTTGCTGCCACCTAACTTTCACTGTAATTGTCTTCAAAAGGCCATACAACAAACATTCTATCAAGCAGCTGCTTTGAGAGGATAAGGAATATGGTAAGACAGTGGCAGTGAGGTCATTACCACAAAGTATTTGCCACAAAGTGAATTCCTTGATCAGAGAAATGCTGTATGGAATACCATGATGGTGGATAAGGCATTCTATAGGTCCAGAGATGGTAAATTGACAGGAGTACTATCTGCAGGGAAGGCAAATCCATACCCAGAGTTACTGTGTATTCTAGTAAGAAAAAAAGCACTGCTCCTTCCATGACGGAAGTGGTCCCAGTGTAATCAGCCTGCCATCAGGTATCTGGCCAATCATTCCATGGAATAGTGCCCATTAGGTAGTCAGTATTGGTATCTGTTGCTAGCAGATTGAGCCCTCAGTAGTAGCTATAGCCAGGTGAGCCTTGGTGAATGGAAGTCCATGTTGCTGAGCATAACCTCCATCCCTGCCACTATGGCCACTTTGTTCATGTGACCTATGGGCAATGACCCAGTGACAGGGGTGTCTGGGGGAGTAGTCTGACATTTATACAGCAAATCCTTCTATTCACTTGTTTATTAAAGTCTTCCTCTGCTGAGATCAACCTCTAGTGAGCATTCATGTGGGATGCAAATATCTTTGTCCCCATCTAGCAAAGTCTATTCACATGCCTCTTCCCCAGACCTTCTTGTCACTTTGTCATCAATTTTTCCAATCATGTTCCTTAAAAGTCCCTCACCATCCAGCTAAGCCATTAAACATACCCATGAATCAGTATAGATTTATACCTCTGGCCACTTCTCCAAGCAAAAAGAACTACTAAGTGCACTACCCTATGTTGTGCCCACTGGGAATATTTCTCTTCATCACTGTCCTTCAGAGATGTCTCAAAAAGGGGCTGTAGTTCTGTAGCTGTCCTCTTCTGGGTGGTACCTTTATATCATGCAGAACCTTCTGTAGACCAGGTCAAAGTCTTCTGTCAGCTGATCACAGGGAACTCCTCATAAGGCAATAGGTACAGGCTGAAGAGAGCAGGTCATGTAGCAGGTGTGAGAACAGCGAGCATTTGGGCAGCTTCTTTGTGTAACTTATTTGTGCCTTCAGGATCTGCTCAAACCCAATCTTGTATCTACCACTTTCATTTGATAGTGGAGTGCTGCTGCATATGCCCAACTTTATGGCTTGGTGGACCATGGTTAAGCATTCTCTACGGAGGCCCAGTAGCAGGCCAAAAGCTGTTTCTCAAAAGGAGAGTCCCCAGAGTGTGGAAAGAATTTGATCTAAATCCTATGTCCCTGCACTGTGACTCACTTAAAGAGGTCTGCCAAAGGTCCAAACAGCACTCTTATCTGCCATGAACACTTCAGTCACCACTGCATCTGCTAGATCACACAGCCCACCACGTGGCAGAGAGGCTTGCATGGCAGACTGAACCTGTTTCGAAGCCTTCTCTTGTTCTGGGCCCCACTCAAAGCTTACATAGTAAGCTTCACATTACTTAGTAAATGGACCAGAGTAGCACATCCAAATAAGGAATATCTCCTCCAAAATGCCTAGGCTCACTAGCCATTGTGCCTCTCTTTTGGTTGTAGAAAGAGCCATATCCAATTTACCCTTCACTTTATGAGGGATTATCTCAACATGCCCCACACCACCAGACCCCTAGAAATTTCACTAAAGTAGAAGGCCACTGAACTATTATTGGATATATTTCCTACCCTCTGGGGACAAATAAGACTAAAGCATTTGCTACTTCTTGTTCACTAGGTCCAATAAGCACAATGTCATCAATGTAATAAACCTCTGTAATATCCTGTGGAAGGGAAAGGTGATCAAGATCCCTGAGAACTAAATACAACACAGGGCTGAAGAGTTTATCCACCCCTGAGGTAGGACAGTGAGGGTCTATTACTGGCCCTAGCAGTTGAAAGTAAACTGCTTCTGGTATTCTTGATTAATAGGTATAGAGAAAAAAACATTTCCCAGATCAATAGCTACACAGCAGGTATGAAGGGATGTGTTAATTTTCTAAGGCAATGAAACCATATCTGGTATAGCAGCTGAAACTAGAGTCACGATCTGAGGAAGCTTAAAATAATCCACTGACATTCTCCAAATTCCATCTTTTTTTTTTTTTTGCATAGGTCAAACAGGTGAGTTGGGATGTGATAGATATCAACATCACTTCATCTTTAAAGTCCTTGATGGAGGCATTAATATCAGCAATCTCTTCAGGAATGTAGTATTGCTTTTGCTTTTTTACTATTTTCCTAGGTAGAATAAATTCTAGTGCCTTCCACTTGCCCTTTCCTGCCATAATAACCCTCTCTCCACAGGTCAGAGAAGTCATGTGGGGATCCTATCATCTGCTGAGTATATTTATTCCAATTATACATTCCAGGGCTTGGAAAATAATCACTAGATGGGTTTAGGGACCTACTGAGTCCACTGTAAAATGAACCTGAACTAAAACGCCATTGAATACCTGACCTCCATAAGTCCCTGCTTTGACTTGTAGACCACAGTGATGTTTTGGGTTTCCTGGAATTGGTGTCAATTCAGAGCCAGTGTCCAGTAGTTTCTGGAAGTCTGATTATTTTCTTTTTCCAAATGTACAGTCACCCTG